AAATATTGTGTACATGAATATGTTTGAAAGTACAATGAGTAATTGTTTAATAAGAATGAATTTTATGTTATATACAAAACATATGAGTTCGTACTTGGTTAGAAGAAGGTTTAAAAAAATGTTTTGTAAAATAATCAACTATCTGAAATAGAGAGGAAAAGAAGAAGTAAGATAGCAGAGAAAAGAAGATATTTCCAGACGGCACTAACAGTAAGGCATTGATTAAAGAAGAATATCGTAATTACAGAATCTCTTGCTTTTGCTTATAAAATCTTGAACAGCAAGAAAAGTATTACAGTTAGTATTATCACTCATGTTACAGTCGCCATATAGTAGTGTTTGCAATATTATAGTACAGTAGTTTGATAAGATGTTCATGAAACTTTCTCTTATTTTATTATCAAGTGGACAAATGAAAAAGAAATAGTGTGTAGTTGCAGTAAGACCACAGCTACATTGTTCTGACAGAGAAATATTTTTCTGAAAGATGGTGATTAAGTGAACTACATCCGGTGCGAAGCCGTGTGTGTAGAACTTGCAGTTTCCTATTCCCAATGTAAAAATAATTTGGACATTTTAGATTATGTTTCAATTTAAATTTGAAAGATGATAATGATGAAGAATTTCGAATTTCAGAGGAAAGTTCATTCCAGTCCCGTATAACGGACGGCAAGAAGAAATTTTCATTATGCGAGAACTAGAGAGGAAGGATAATTTGGTGTAAGATCGTGACTCATCTTGTTAAAAAGAATTAGCTTGTGATTTTTTCTTTGAGTATGGACAGTTTCCCAGGGTACTTCCTTTTGAAGTTCATGGAGAAAAATTCGAGCTGCTTCGTGTTGGATTTTGTCTAGTTCTGTATTTTCATATTGGGTACAATTGTCATATAATACATCTGCATACTCTAATAAAGGTCTGATGAATGTAAGGTTTTCAAGGGTTTCAAGGGATTTTCTATCTAGCTGAAATTTAAATGATCTCATTATGTGGATTCTCTTCCAAGTTCGTTCTTTAATAGAATTGATATGTTTGAAAAGGTAACACCAAGGTGTTTGTGATAGGCTACAGACGATATCGGAGTGCCATTCATAAATTATTGAGGATGTAACGGTTTTTGAGACTTTCGAGAAATGATCATAGTTTCAGATTTTGACGGACTAAAGGTTATTAGCCAACGAGAAGCCCATACTGAAATTTTATCAATATCTGATTGTGGATAGTCTACGATGATATGGAGACTTGTATCTTCAGCAAATAAATGAGCACCTGAACCTAGATTATCGACAATGTCGTTTATATATACCAGAAACAACAAGGGGCCCAAGATGGAGCCTTGAGGAACTCCAGCATTAACAGTTGACCAATTTGACCTTGTACCAGGAAGAGTTTTAGCTTGACGACGATCTGAGAGGTAGTCAGAAATCCATGCAAGAAGGCGTCCATCCAGTCCAGCAGTTTTTAATATAAAAATGAGTTCTTTATGCCAAACTTTATTAAAAACTTTTGCTGATATCACAGCAAACTGCTCTGATTTCTAGAGTTTTACAAAATGTATTGTAAAGGGACGTAAGCCGATTGACAAATGGGTCGCCTGGTGTGAAACCAGACTGTTAAAGAATTTAAAAAAAATAATAATAGGGCCACAAAGTCGAAGGACACATGGGAAGGAGACAGGAGACCCGGGGAATGGGGTTGGGTAAATTAAAGAAATAAAACTAGGGGCAAAAGGGAAGATACTTGCCGTAGACGGGAAAACAAAAAGGGACACAAACAAGTGACACCAAAACAACAGTATGAAACAACAAAGCCATACATCTGAAGAACACAAAGGGGTGCTGCCTTGGAACGGACAACAGCATAAGTACTGTTAGGGAATTTAAACCGGTTAATGGTGCACAAAACTTCACTCTTAGCCCCAACATGTTCCTATAAATGAGACAGTGTAATTAAAATGAATCTTTGCTTGGCTTAGTAAATGATTTTTAGTTTTCAACTTGTGTCACGTGTTGCCCCTAAATAATTATTCTAGAGTCAGTCGATTGACAAAACAACGGAGTGTTAGGGCACCCGTGCCCTATGGAAACGTTTCTAGTTTTTTATCATTTTACCTCTTTCCATCTCAGAATGAAAATCCCATAATGATAATATTATATGTACAAGAAATTAAGCGTATTATTTATTATCAGATGATCTTAAATGTTTGTGGTTTTGATTTATTCATCACCATGCTGTTTATTTCTGAATATATCTAAAGTAATCTTATCCATTTGAAAATAATAGAAAGTACTCCTGAGTACGTAATCTTAAATAAATTTGATTATTAGTCAAATAAGATAAAGGTGTCAAGAGTTTGAAAAATTCAGTAAATAACAAAGTGTATTGACTTAAACTCGACCTTTGGCTATAAGCCAGCTCCAAAGACTTGTATATTCATATCATTATTATACAAGGAAAACTGATCCTGTCACAATTTCTTTTATAATTTATATATAATGTACAAACACCTTTATTTTTAATTGTTTTGATAAAGTTTTACCTTTAAATGTAATATAATTAAATAAAATTTCAAACATGATTAAATAGCGCTAATTATAAGATGGAAAAAATACACATTTAAGATATGTGAACGTATCTTTGTACTTTACACTTTATAAAACATTGTCTTTTTTCAAAGCAATCAATGTATTACAATACAGTTGACTGTATCACAATATATTGCATGGGTTTGACCACATTATTGCACCCAAGGTATTTGTCATTAAAAGAGCGGGATCAAGTGAAATATCAAATCAAGCTTTTGTTATTTAAGATGAAACATCTATAAAGGGGAATGAACAATTAGTACTCTACAAAAAAAACAAGCTAAACAAATGTAAACAATGTTTCTATAATGTGGTATTCTATCAAAAAAATTATCTTTTTATAAGTGGAGAACAAAAAGTAACAGATACTAAAAATGTGAAACAACTTGTTCAATAAGCAAATTTCCTCAATAATGTAAGTATACTTTATAAACGGGCTTTCCTAGAGAGCCACTGATACCTGATGATACCTGAACAGCTCACTTTAAGAAAAACAAATGATGTGAAGAAATTTAACAAAGGTTTAGCTCAAATTGTTCTCATTGCTTGTGCAAAAAATAACCAAATCTTTCACATGAAATGTGCAGATGTCTCATTTATTTATGCGTTTCAGGTTCAATCCCTTATTTCCACCATTCCCATTCTAGTAGACTGCAAGTTTATAGTAAGTTAAGTTCAGTAGTTACAAATATTGTCATTTTTATGTTGCATTGTAGAATTTCTATTTAATAGAGAAATACATATATCAATTTTGACAATCAAATTATTTGAATTGTTTCAATATTTTCATTGTATATGATTTTTCCTCTTATAATTTTATTCAAATATATTTGTAAATTATGTCTAACTTGACTTAGGACATGTTTTACAGTTTTCGTTTTAACATATCATTCATGTGCAAGCGCAAAACTCATCCAAGTTGACTTAACCTAGTTTTGTTTAGTAAATTCTTTGATTTTCAGCGCAAAACCCATGCTTACTCTAATAATTCCTTTAAACCATTAAGATAGAATTCCACTTATAAATAACTTATCATATAAGTTTCCAGACATTTAACATGATAAATGATAAAAACTAATAGAATATTAAAAAAAACCAGTAGGATAAAAAAAGACCAAGAGTTTTTTCACCTTTCTGTAATATTTAACAAAATGGAGTTAGCTGAGTTTTTGCACTGAGTCATCGAGGCTCAAGAGACCAGAAGTTTCCTTATAGTAAGAAATTATTAACCATATGATTTAAGTCTGTAACTGGCGAGTTATCGGTGAAGCTACATTGTTTATGCGTTGAATGCCACTGGGTGTATTTAAGAAAGGCTTAACACCGTGTTTGACGTGCGCCGCTATTCAAATAAGTTGCCATGGTATTTATGGAATTATTTTTGTTGTTTGTTGATATTATTCTATGAATATTTGTAAAAATGTTTAGATTATATTGATTTATAACAACAATATCAAAGTCCTACCTATTTTGTTTAACTCTTAAACAATCATCTCACAGAATATTTGGAAAACCCACATACACCATCTGATTTTATTATTTTGAAAACATGAACATCTTGATTAACACTACAGGTGAACGTCGCGTGGCCATGTCTTACATTTAATTTATTTTTAGAGTCATAATTTTTTTTTCATAAAATTAATTTTTGTCAATACTTATGATGTTTGGATGATGTTCTAAGGGTTTTGGGTTGTAAAGGTGGAACGGGGGTATAGTGTAAATTGTGGCCACGCGACGTTTACCTGTGATCAACAGTAGACTGCTCCATATTCATGAAAATGTTGAAAGTTTATGCCATAAACCAAAGGGATAAAGGTTTTTTTATTTGTCTTTTAGCCAATCATTCCTGGTTTAAATTAGGTTCCTGTACTGCAATGATAGAAAAGTACTCAAGGTCTTCTCCCAACCTCAATTTTGTCGTCTTTATATCCCCAAAATTGAAAATGAACAATTCTAAAAATTTCAGCGCTTTCAGTCATTGAATAATGACCTCGACCACAATAGTATGAATACACAGAACGGTATTTCAGTCCAACCTATGCTTAAAAACTAGACATGTAAACAAATAATAATTTAATGTTGTAGAAACCGAAAGTACACAATGCCAACCTGTTGACATTAAGTCACATTTGTTTCAAAATATTTAAATTAAAAATGGTTGTCAGACATATTTTCGATCATAGAAACAGACTTGATTTTCTTTTGGATGCCAATTATATGTACATTTCTTTTACATTATCAAAGATTGCACTTTCCCTTTATGTTTACATCTGAAATCAGGTGGTAGAACTACTTTCACACTGTTTTGTTTCCGAGGTTATCATAGATAGAAGAAGACGTTCCGATTGATTGAAGCTGTACAAGTTTATTAAAGAAATTCAGCAGAGAAAGGGTAAATATATTGCTTTTTTACAGCTGATGGTGCAGAGATTCAACGGCAAAGATGGCAAATGCCTTCAGATAGAAAAAGACTTGTCTTACCTAATGTTACAGTGGATGATACACTGTGTGTGCAGTGTCTGGTACGAAATGAGTATGGATCAACAATTGGTGATGCATGTATGACTGTTATAGGTAATTATCATATATATATATATTATGGTACAAAATGGAAGGGGGTGGGGGCGGGGAGCATATTGATTTGTCCGTGTCTGTCTGTCTTGCTGCTGGTGCGTTGTCCGTCTATCTATAGACTGACAAAACAGTGTAATGAGTGGGAGTCTGTTACTTATATCTGGTTTAAATGAGAAATAAAAATATCAGTGAGGTATATGCCATATGGCAATTTTTGAAACTGAGTAAGGTATATAATTATGTTTCACTTTCTATACATTCAAAAATGTAGTAAAGAAGAACACATTAGGGATAACGATTTTCATGATGTCATTATTATCGCGCTTTAAAATGAGACTTGTTTTACATTTTCATTCGCACTGTTCATTCTTAAAAATAATTAAATAATTTTCACTTGATAGAGAAAAATAGTCCAAAATCACTAAACACAAAGAAAAACTTTAGTTTAGTTTAGATAATTATGATGTTGGTTATTGTTTCATATAATAAGACGTAAATTACTGTTTTTGATAAAGAAAATTGTACAGTTTAGATCCTGTGATAAGTAATTCATTCTATACCATCATTGTCATCTGTTTAGCAGTTAGGGCAAATAATTTATAATATTCTTGGAGATTTTCCACCAATGCATGAGACCAGATAATAAATCCGACTAATTCTCAACACTTAATAACTTCATCTTTTGTGGCAACACAGCAAGACACATTTTTATTAATACGAGGGGTTGTCCAAAAATTAGTGGACTTCCTTTGTTGTGTAAATATATTAGAGATATTGATTTAAAATTCTTACACTGCTAAGAACAATATATAGCAAATAAACACAGAAAAATTCACGCTGGTAGCTTCTTATATTACAACTATATTTAGTTTTAAATAAACACAAGTCGGCGACAGCGGCGCACTCCAAATTGTTATTGACGTCAACGTCATAATAACGTACTATACAACTTGTGCTTCAACGTAACGCAGTCAAAGACCGTTATTGCTTCTCAAAGTAATTTCCATCACTAAATTTCGTATGCCACTTAAACACTTTCAATAAGTCTAATGATCGAAACATTTTATTTTCTCTGTTCACCTGGTGATTTTTCAAATGTTTTTGTAGGTGTCCTTCCCAAATTACACAAAAAATATGATCCCGATATTTTCTAACTTTTGCGTGTCCGTCATTTCCACGTTGTAAACAATATCGGCGTCTGTCAATTCTAGCGATATCAACAAAAATTAACAGAAATGTCGTCCATAATTTTAAAGAATTACTAAACTGACATCATAGAAGAAACATGCGATGTTTGGCGGGATTTCTATGTTAATTATTAGTTGTTTAACAAAAAACAAAAACAAAATATGATGACTATCTGCGCTTTTCTACCTTGCGCCGGGTGCCGTATATGTTCTTATTTAAAACAATATAAAATCATTATTTATTGACGCAGTTAAATATTACTTTCAAAATGTGTTAATAATATTGTACAAGATATGCTGATAAAATTTAACTACAATGCACGTTGACGTGATAGAGATATTTAAAAATCCACGAATTTTTGAATGACCCCTCGTAAACTTTAACTAATAATACACTGTGGAATGTCACCATCCTCCTCCACCGGAATCAGAAATTTGATCTCGGAGTATACTCGAAAGTTTGAAGTTGATACAAAATGACTAAGTGTGACCTTAACCCGTGAAACCAGCGTTGTGCACATTGATTTACTGTGGTTAAAATTTCTGGCATTCAAAAGATACAGACCGGACACTAAAACTGCTTACAGATTGATGAACGAACGACAAGGTGTATAACGTTATAAGCCGAAGTAAGATTATTGTTGACAGGCCTAAATATTATACTGTTACCATCGTAACTGCTAAACTACATTATGAAGTGAAAGTTATAATTATTGTTATCGGGTTTAAATGCACTGTTTAACCATAGTAATATATGATAAGGTTTTTAATTTTAGATAAGATCGTCGTAATAAAGGGTCCCAATTCTACATACGATGTGGAACCAGGTATGTCTGTGTTAATTGAAGTTCAGGCAACCACAGATAAATTGTTCCTGAATCAGATGAAGTTTAAGTGGCAGTGGTATGAGGAACAAATGGACGATGAAACGGGAATCGCTGTTACAAGTAGGGAAATTTATTTTCTTTCATACTTTATAAAATACTACCTATGAACTTAAAACAGCGTTTGAAGCATGTGATGTTCTGATAGAAATCATAACCGGGTCATATCTTATCCATTTAGCTTTGTTACCATTTCAAGAGACCAATAAGTTAATATCAAATGTATACCTTACCCCATATAGCCTAGTTTTCGTTCAAAGAGTTTAAAATATCTAAAATGTATATAAAATGCAAGTCATAGTCCATCGAGCCTCATTATCTTATTCAGTGTAAAAATTCATATAAATTCTTTATTGTTCTTGAATTAACAAATTAACAAAGCTCTGTCAAAAAGGTAAGAAATGTGAAATAAAGAGGTCATTGTTCATTGTTAGAATCAATACTGATTCTTTTGGACTTATACACAGCTACACAATGTATATCAGACAATGCTGTCGCCCCGTTCAAAAAAGTTAAACAGTTGTGTACTCAACCAAAAGAATTTAGTATTGTCATCAACAATTTATATGATCGTCATAACATCCTACTACATATGTCATAAGATAGTTTTTCACATATTGATATGGTTAATGTGGCCGATTGGTTAAGGTCTTTGACTTCAAACAACTTGCCCCTCAAGGCTGTGGGTTTGAATCGCTACAGGGTATGTATGGAAAAATCTGGAAGCTCGCAAGCTTAAATCACAACAAAATAACATGCAAATTGCAAACTTGGTTTGATTGAGTACATAACTTGTACATAAGGGATAATGGATAAATGCAACATCCCTCAGGCCCTATAGCACCGGCTTGAGCGGTACTCAATTCTCAACACTAAATAGTGGTGGCATCAATGATCCCAAAGGACCAGAAATAAGTTGGCATACGACTTTTGCAATGTCTTTAAACAAACAAAGCTAAATAAAAGCGAAACCAAACAAAGAAAACACGGAGATACAATATCATGTATGTAAATTAAATTTAACCATTGATATTTGTTACTGTGAGGGCAGGGATATCATTAAAAAAAACCTGAGTAAAAAGTAATTTAGACCTTTTTGGTAAAGATGCCCCCATATTGGAATATTTAGTATGACTGCCTGCTATGCAATTTATAAAGGGCAGGAAAATATTGAAAAAAATGCAGTCTATATAGTTAATCTTATGTGCAGGACCGGTGATTCTGCCACCAAAGTCGTCACTCGGCAGATACATCCGTATATCACAGAATGGTAAGAGCGCGGCAATCCAGTTCCCGGATGTGCATTGTGATGACCAGGATTCGTACAATGCATACAATGCTCTCAAAGACCGATTATACACTCTCATAATAGAACACCAGTATGACCGAGTAGAACTCAACTTCACTATTAACGGCATCAATATCGGTAGGTTTTCTTTATTCTGTGAATTCCTTTTAAATATTATGTTAATTTTCAGATCATTTACAATGCGTACATATGTTAGATATCTCGTGTTCGGCCTTTATCTATACCAAAATAATAAGTTGCAGAAAGTTTTGCCCGTTTAGCCCATGACTACCACTGTATTTTCTTTGAATCAAAGGAGGTACTTAAAAGACGTTTTCATATGCCCAAAAATATTACATTTATGTTAAAGCTTAGATATTTTGATTGAAGCATGTCTTTTTGACATCTACAAAATTTATATAAATCATGTTCAAGGGATCAATATTGGCCCTGCCCCATGGGTCATATGGTAAAACTTATTTTCATGTATCATTATGTATTCTTATTTAAAATTACATCATTGTTATTTGGCATTAATCATTACATAGAAAAAGCCTGCATTTGATCCAATGTTCATTTAAGGTATGAGCCCCATTAAAGGCACTAAAAGGAACTATAAAATTGACAACAAAGGTTAATTATATCCTTAAAGGACACCTGTATGCAAATTTAAACGAAGTTAACCGTATGGTTTACGGGTTCTGGAGATTTTCCTTACTTAAACCTGGCTATCAGAAGGTCTTTTTCTCAGAAATGAGAAACTCTAAATAATCTATAATAGACTATAATCATTTTAAAAAGTATTTTCCTATTTAACATTGTTAAGAAACAAATAATAGCATTCAGTTTATAAATGGCACATGCAAAACTCTTGTTTCTATTTAATTTTTTTTTAAAAATATGTATGAATTTGTTACCCTTACCCACCCATTTTAAATAGTTGTTTGACCCTTTCCTACTTGGCGGGCCTTATTCAAAATATCCCTTAAATTTATCAAAATGAGGGGCTGTTTTCAAAGTTTGCCTAAATTTTTTAAAAGTATATTGGTTGAGCTTGTTAAATATAAAATAATTTTACCGTATTAGACTTTGAAAATATCGGGTACCATAATAATTTAGATAATAAATTTGGCATAATTAAGCCAAACAAATACCGAAAATATTTTTTTAATTAAAATGAAATACTTTTTTCTTACCAAAATTGATCCGAGAAATACATAAATAGTGAGCCAATGCCCTTCAATTTCAATACAGTTGACAGTAGTTCTTGCCTATTTGAATACCCTTCAAAGTGGAGGTAATGCATTAGATGGGTCATACATTAACTGATATCAAAAATGGCTATACCCATTGGGTTGGTTGGGGGATTGGTAGCCATGTTTTAAAAGTCTTTTATGTAGAGCATAGATCATGTAGATGTTGTTTCATCACGTTGTAAAAGTAGAATCATCAGTTACAGTACACTCCGCTTATAACGAACTCATCGGGACAATCAAAATCTGTTCCTGATATCCAGAGTTCGTTGTAAGCATACAGCGAATAAGTTTCTTGTATCAGGAGTTTTTATAGCGAACCGATTTACATATAACGAACTCATTGTTTAACATCGTCCGCCATTTTGAAGAGCATTTGATTAAGGCAAATTAGTCAACTATTTCATTTTAGACATAATAACCAAGAGCGTACTTTTCGGAACTTGAAAATCCTTTGCTATTTCAGTTTTAGTTTTACTCCATTTCTCAATTTCTCGTAAAATATCATATTTTGTTTCTAAACTCAGTGCTTCTCGTTTCTTTCCATGATTAAAAATAAACAAGATTTTCGATTTTACATACCTTTTATATTGAATATCTTCTATTTTAAGAGTGACTTTAATTAATAAAAGATATTTCAATCAAGCGTACTTTGTAGTTTTCAATGCTTGCAAGCATGCGTGATTATGTTGAAAACCGGTTAAAAATAACCAAAATTGATAGATCCTTACTCTGACCTTTCATTTAAATAACGATAAGTTTACCCACACACATAAACATGACTGTGCTCTTTTGATATCAAATATGTTGTAATGAAATTCTTATTGTATCCACTTATCTGAAAAGTAGAAATGGACAGGTCAGGGATCAATGCATTATTTCGCTCGAGCAAAGCTATTTAAGAATAAAATGAATAACACTTTTATCTTAGTGATGAATGAATTATCTTAGAACTCATGCTAAAAATATCCTAAATTGAAAACTATAATGTACTGATATACAAATTCATTTTAATAGATGTCTTGAAGTAAATGCGGGATCTACTTACGGAGAGTTCGTTATGAAAGTGTAATTTTATTACTTTTAACTAAATTTGGACTAAGAAAAAAGTTCCTTATAAGCGATAATTCCTTATAACCGTGTTCGCTATAACCGTATATTTTATATTAAATAAAGAAGGGTAAAATTCGGGCCAAAATAATTGTTCTTTATAACCGGAAATTCGCTATAACCGTGTTCGCTTTAAGTGAAATTTACTGTATGTACAAATAATGAACATAAGATGGATGTATGAGTGTTGATGTTATAAAATTTATAATTGTAAAGGGGAAATATAAAAAGAAGAAATTATTTGTAAGCATAGCATTTTGACTATTTTTAGGCTTATTTTTTATTCTTTTGAATTTCTAGTATTATATTATTTATGTTTTTTTTTTATTTTAATCATTTAGAAACCAACAATAAAAACATTACTAGTGTTGTTATACCCTATGACAAATGAATGGAGGTAATTAATCATCACTCTGTAGTTTGAAATTAGTTTTTTTAAGTGCACGATCGGTGACATTCCTGGGGCCTGTAGTCCACAGCGAAAGCTGGGGCATACTGTATGTGTATTTAAATTTGCGGAAGCAAATTTTCACGGAAAGGTCCTTTTGGGGGATCTATACAAACATTCGCGCTATTTTGAATTCGCGGAGGTGACTGCCGAAAATTAAAACTTTGCGTAGATACCAGGTGTCAAACGATACGCTATTGAACAGTAAAAAGACACTGTCCAGCGGATAGATTATAGCGAACAAAAGAATGCCTGTTAACGTGCATAATTATTCATAGTTTGCTTCATAAACGTCTTGACATCTGATCAGATCATGTTTTGGGTTTGCTGAACAAACAATACAAAAAAACACAAGCATAAACGATTTAAAATCATGAATAGCTTGGAAAACAAAACACAATTACACAGTAAAAATTTAAATAATTGTGAAAGCATATCACACACTGATATACATTGTTTAATAGAAGCGCGAAAATATGAATATTAAGAAATTATTGGTGTTGAAATATTCGCAATAAACATGAAATCGCGGATCGAATGACACCGCGAAGATCGTAAAAATTTGAAGCCCGCGAATTTTTTTACACATACAGTATATAATTGTCACTAAGTATTCATGTGACAAGAGATTATTTCTTTGGTATGTATAAATTAATCTTGATATTGATAATGAAAATAAAACATATTGTGACAAATGTTCTAAATGTTAATCATCACTGTTTAAAAAATATTTTTCATTACTTGAAACTTTATTTTTAAACCACCGAAACGAGGTTTGGGAGGGTATATAGGAGTCACCCGGTGGTCGGTGGTTGGCTGGTCGGTCCAGCAGTCCATTGCAATTTCCTTGTCCGGGGCATAACTTAAAAACTAATGGTTTGAATCCAATACAACTTCATACACAATAAGAGGAAGTGCAGTGCAAAAGAACCATATCTCCATCTAAAGTTATTACAGAATCATTGCCTTTTGTTACTTTTCAATTGCTTTTCTTTTCTGAAGCATAACTTTAAACCACTAGTTGAAAGTCAATACAACAACCATTTACAATGGTCAAGTACATTGAGAGGAAGTACGGCGCACAAAAAGCATAACTCCATATTGACAAATTACAGAGTTATTGCTTTTGATACTTTCCCTTGTCCGGAGCATAACTTGAACTATACTGGTTGGTATTCAAAACAACTTCATACAATGGTCAAACAAAAAGTGCCATGAACCATAACATATCCAGAGTAATTATAGAGTTTTTTCCCTTTGTTACTTTTCCATTTCTTTTTTATTGTCCAGAGCATAACTTGAAAACCACTAGTTGTAATTCAAAACAATCTCATATAATGGTCAAGCACATTAGGAGGAAGTGCAGTGCACAAGAACTATAACTGCATCTTGACTAATTACAGTGTTATTGCCCTTTGATACTTTTCTATGTCTGGAGCATAACTGAAAAGTACTAGTTGAAATTCAAAGCAGCTCCATACAATGGTCAAGCAGAATAAGAGGACGTGCAGTGCACAAGAACCATAACTTCATCTTGACTAACAACAGAGTAATTGCGCTTCGTTACTTTTTCTTGTCCAGTGCATAATAGTTGGAATTCAATGCAACGTTCATACAATCACCACGTACTATAAAAGAAAGTGCACTGCAAAAGAACCATTACTCTTTCAAGATTCATTATAGAGTGATTGCCTTTTGTCACTTTTCCTTGTCGCAGATCATTACAAGAAATCTACTTGTTGGAATTCAATACAAGTTCGTACAATTGTCAAGTATTTTGAGAGAAAGCGCATGGAACAATAACTGTTTCTTAACTAATTTTAGAGCTATTGCCCTTTGTTTCTTTCTATTGTCCAGTGCATAACTTGAAAATTAATGCAACTTCAAAGAATGGTCAAGCGCAGTGTAATGAAGTGTAGTGCTCAAGAACCATAACACTTTGCGGACTCATTACATATTTATTGCCCTTTGTTACTTTTTTGTCCAGTGCATTACTTGAAAACTAATGTTGACGTTGTAGCTGGTGCTCTGGTGGTTGAAAAGGCAGCTACAAATCTGTTTTATATTTGTAAAAGTCACTGTTGATGTTTTAGATGGCACTCCGGTTGACTGAGCAGCCCATTGGTAGTATAATTGTTATGGTCACAGTTGTTGTTATTTCTGGTGCTCTGGTGGTATAAACAGCAATATTAAATATATATCATATATTGTTAATGTCACTGTTGTGTTGTAGCTAATGCTCTTGTGATGGAGGAGTGGCAACAAATCAGTGGTTAATTTTTTATGTACCAGTTGTTGTTACAGCTGGTGCTAACTTGGTCGTAGAAGCAACAACAAAAATGTAATATTGATCATATCGCAATTGTTGTTACAGCTAATGCTCTGATAGTTGTAGCAACAGTAACAATTGTGTGGTATAATTGTTAACCCTTTACCTTATACATACGCGAACCAACGCTCATTCGACGACCCCTTTGAGGCCTCAGATAGTGAAAAAATATATTATTTAGGCCCCTAACACCTGTTTTCATTTAAGAAATGGTGTTAAAAAAGTGAACACTTTTTTCGGCGCTGCCCCCTATCAGAAAGATACATCAGGGGAATGCAGGGGGATTGTACCCACCGTTGCTTAGGGGTTGAAGAGGGCAGCAGCCGCCCTCATTGCCTCATTTTGGACTTATGAGAGGCTAAAATTAGCATCAGGTCAATTATAAGGTAATGTGTAACCAACACTAAAAAGCTTTTGACTGTATCTTAATCCATTGAGAAGTTGCAGCAATTTGAAATCATTTTGGTTGGAAAAGATCAACGTTAATATTTCTTACAATTTTGAGATGTCCCCCTCATTGTCTTGGTAACAGTAAAGGCCATGGCCCAGTCAATATGACTGCCAAGTTTGATGAATATTGAGGCATCTTTTATAGTTTCATAGCAATTTGATTTTGTAACCAGAGGCTTTTCAGTGAAAAGGCCATTTTTCACAAAACGTTCATGCAATAACGGGTTTATATCACTGCTGTTGTTGTGACAGCTGGTCCTCAATGGTTGTATAAACAGCAAAAATATGTGGTTTAATTGTCAATATGGCTTTTGCTGTATTGAAACAGAAACAAATCTGCAGTATAATTGTTGATATACTTTAGTTGTAGCTCGTGTTCCTGAAATTGAAGAATGGTTAAGAAATTTAGTGTTCATTACACTGATCCTCGTAATTGCGGCCGTCATCGTGGTCAGTCTGTTTATGGTGTTTTGTAAAAACAGAAACAGAAAATGTCCTTGCATGGGTAAGTATTCAAACATTTAACCTTTATTCTGCTGGAACCGAAAGTTATCACCCTCTGCCTCTAGTATAGAGCCAGCCTAACATGTATGACTAGCCTCTAAGTAAAGAAAAATAATATATGTATATATATAAAGATAATATAAAAATCTGGCATTGATTTTAGTGTGTTTTGGCTTCACTTTCAAAAGAAAAAAAGTAAAGGTCTTGTCCTGATTATCTTTATACCTTCTTACTGTCAAAATTCGCAAATTTCAACTTGTTTCATGTGTTTCCAATAAGTATTTGACCTTGAGTCATGGAAATTTACAGGAATGATGAACACTTATTAGAATGAGCACCTGGGTGTTTTGCGTCTGGATTCATGCAGTTTTGTCAGAGTTATTGCCCTTGAAATGTTGAAATGTTCATATTAAGTCATGTGTAGCAAAAAAATTGAACCTAGGATGAACAAAATGTTGGTCAGCATGTGAAGGTGCGCACCCAGGGGTTTTAAAATCAATACTTTACTTAGACGCTGGTTTCCTTGTTTTATGTTCAGGATTTGTAGAGACAGTGCCTTGACTTAGGAAAAACTGTGCACCTCTAAACGTGCTTCAGCTTGAATCATCCAACTTTACAAAAGTGTTGATCATTATATAAAGTTGCAGCTGGAATGGATTAATTTAGCTTTGTAGAGTTATGCCCTTGACTTTATATAAATTTTCTATTTTCACATTGTGTCGTGTGTATCCAAAACGTGTTTTCATGAAATTTCCGGTGTCTGTCCCTCTGAGTTATACTGTCCTGTTGTACGTCAGTAGACAGTGGAGTGGGAGTACCCCTGTGTCATATGGACATTTTTCTAGCTCATATATAATAAACTGTCAAACTAATCTCTCAATGTTTTAATAGAAATGCATTTCTAAAGAGCATAAGTTTAGTTTTTAAGGTAGATTTTTCAAAAAGTGTCAAAGATATTTACTTTATACTTGGAGTAATTGTTCACTATAAAATCTGACATGCATTTGTAGGTGCAGATAATCCTTAAGCTTAATGTTTGCTGAATTTTCTTACTGCTTTGACAAGCAATATTCCCCTTTTTTAAGAACCGTGAAATGTATTCATTTCAAATTTGAAATATTTGTTAACTATAAAGGACAGGTAGGTCTGCTAAGCATATTTGCAAAATAACCCCCCCCCCCCTGTTCTATGTTGCTTTCATTTAACTATCTAGAGTTGCGAGTGGAATATGCCGTCCGTTGACAGTTCTTTTTATATTACCTTGCCACTAGCTTATAAATTGTGTGTTTTAGTGCACAGGAATGAACATCAGGCTGGTTTTGACCAAGCACTGGAATTAAATGACCGTGGAATTCATGATAATGAAGGACGGTAAGTTTTGTTTTTTATTGTTGATTCTAGACCTGCTTGCAGTTTTTGACCTTACCTATGCCATCAAGCGGACCAAGATCAGTTCGCACATCACTATGATAGACGTGTTCATTTAAGAAATATTAAGGTGGAAACAATTAGGATATTTCAAATATGTTTTGTATTACCCGTTGGCCTTTAAAGTGGATGGGACTTTGAACTGAACGGAATAGGCGGGGACATTAAAAAATATATAAATGTTTCAAGTCTGCAGCATCAGCCTGTGGTTCTCTTCAAAAGCTATATAAGCATGCCCCTGGATCAGTTAGATTACATAGGCTTATATAGAAAAATACATTTAAGTCTTCTTGAATGTATCTGGAGTTGTATCGAAGATGATTTATGTCCCGGTAAAATAATTTTTTTTAATTAATTTGCAGCCAGAAAGTTGACATTTTTGTATAATCTTATTGTCAAGTTAATATTAACTATTCTAAAATGGTAATAACAAAACGATTATCCCCATACAGTAAAGTTCAGTGAATGGTGACACTAATCCTTTAAATGGTTAATATATGTGTCCCTTCCAACTAACAATTATCTGCCATAATTTAGATCAATTAAAAAATTAATTATCTACTCTCTGTGGCTTCCTGAGCGAAGGTGTAAAAACTGTTGTTTTTTTAAACTGACCTGTATTAATTGAATCCGCCTGCAGGCAATTTATTTAACTAAATGAATTAACTAAAACTGTTCATCTGTAGTTTAGGCGCTTTAGTATAATATATGTTGTCCATGATTATATTAAAATATAGATATTTCTAGAGCTAGCTTAGGCTTGTATATTTTAAAAGCAACGGATTATTTGTAAACAGTCTCGTAAGCAGCCAAAGTATAATATAAATTAGATCAATACTAAAACAAAAGATTTTAAACACGGCGCCTAACTGATATGTGCGATACTTTGATGAAACAGAAATAAAAAGCATTCAATGTAAATTTTATTACCAATCATTTACGCCGATCCATAATTAAGTATGATTTTAAGAATTTAATAAAGAAGTATTACTTTAAAAGCTTATTTTTATACCCCGCACAACAAAGTTGTAAAATATAGTGTATTGATTTTGACCTTTTCACATTTGACGCATATAATTATGTTCTCATATATTCCTCATAAAACACCCCAAGGCAAAGCTGCATGAATGGGGGAAGGGTTTTCAAGTCGTGCAGTGGCAGTTTTGTTTTTGAGTTCAGTAGGTCAAAGGTAAAGGTCACTTTGATCTTTGCCACTAAAATCATGTAGAAAACATAACTTAGCAATGCACTGGATTTTTACCCTCATATTTTGCAGGGAGGTTGTCCTCCTTGAGCTTTAAATGACCACAATTGATTCCTACAAAGTTGTATGCGGAGGGTGGTATTCACGCCATAACAGTGTCAGTTCTAGTTTGGTTTTTTCCCAAAAGACTATCATAATTTCAATAAAAAATAATAAAATAATAAAAACAAATTATTCCATATCTTTCACTTTTATACCATAAAACAAACATTTAAGAGTCACCGCCAAGCTGAATCCATGCTTGACGTTTCCTTACTTCTATTAAATCACAGAGGAAGAATATTGTTGTAAAGAAAACAAATTAATTCAAATTTCATGTATGACACGGACAGTCAAAATAATTCAAAGAAATAATGCACAAAATGGCAACTGAGGTCAAATGTGTAAATAACAAAGACATGACAATTTAAGCTTATTTCAGAATTTGAACTTAAAGACCAAGAAGATAACACCAGAATAATTCAACATGTCGTTTTTATCATATGTATTCTTTTATTCAAGTATAAATTAAATCTGCCAATAAATAAGAAAGTTATGATAATTCATTGAGAAAATTTCAATAGCTTAAACTTTGATCATAGCAGTCATGTTGGAATTACTTAAATAATATGTTTTGTTACAAGTTTTCTGCTTGTTAGAAAGTAAGTCAAGTTTACGGTTTATAGGCAAAGACATCCGCTATTTACCGCAACGTTCGACGTAAGTTACCCCCATCGACATGCTTGAGTTTTGATTTAATTTTCCTAGTACTTTCGTTAATTTCAGACTACTGTATTAATTTCCTAATAGACTTACATTATTAGAAATTACCCTTAAACTTATCTTAAAATTGAGTAACAATGCTAAAGATTTTTTCTAGACGAATGACATATTTGACACATCAAAATGATCTTGTATCATAGGATAAACCGGTTAGATGTTTTTGAAAAATGTCTCCAAAGGTGATTTGCCCCTTGTCACTGAAATTTATTGCTGACCATAGAAATGACATATACCTTTTAGACATGGTGAGCGTTTGTGATCGCTTTTCGTCCGTCGACCGTCCGTAAACTTTTACTTTATACGACATCTCCTCATAAGCCACTGAGCCAATTTCATCCAAACTTCACAGAAATGTTCTTTTGGAAGTCAACTTTAAAGTTGTTCAAATACTTTTATTCTATGCAGAACACTGCCATGGTAACCAAAAGAAAAATCTTAAAAACAAACTTCTTTGAAATAACCGAAAGAGCTAGAGCTTAAATCGTTTGCATGAAACATTTTCTAGTCAGTGTCTACCAAGTGTGTTCAAATAAAAGCCCAGGGATCAAAATTGGCTACACGCCAGATGATCATTGTTTTTCCCTTTATATATATCGTAAAAACTTAAAAGTCTTCTTTTGAAAAACCTAAAGAGCTAGAGCTAAGATATTTAGCATGAAACATCTTCTATCGAGTGTCTACCAAGTTTGATCTCATAAGGGTCCTGTGGTTAAAATTGGCACCGTCCCAATGAACATTGATTTGCCTTGTATGTGTATACTAGAAACTTATTTTTTTTTTTTTTAAAAACCCAAAGAGCTTGAATTTAGATACTAGGCATGAAATATCTTCCAGTGAGTGTGTACGAAGTTAATTCAAATAAAAGCCTAAGGGTCAAAATTGGCCCCGCCCGGGGGTCATAGCTTTTCCCTATATGTGTATAGTAAAAACTTTAAAAATATTCTATTAAGAACCCCGAAGAACTAGAGCTAAGATATTTATCATGAAACATCTTCTAATCGGCGTCTACCAACTTTGTTCAAGTAAAAGCCCTTCGGTTAAAATTGGCCCTACCCCAGGGGCCTTTTTACAGGTGGGCGATTCCAGGGCCTTGTTTAAAATTCCAATATTCAAATGAAAAATTATCGTATATTTAACTATTACATTTTCCGACACTGGAAGTAAACTTTTCCGCGAAATGTTGCATTATTGTCAAAGGGTCTTGTGTTTTGGATAAAAATATTTTCTGGTCACACATTGTCTTAGTAGACCTATACTTAAAAAGTAAATCCTTTACCATCATGAAATCTTGATTAGTATAAAACATCTGTGAGCATTGCACATCGTTTTATAGTATTGCGTCCTCCTGTTAAAGTATAGGCATTTCAAGATTAAAGATTTTTTGTGATAAAAACAGTAAGGTGATTTTTATTACAGTCCATGCTACAGGTAATTTAGTATCCTAAATATATTTTTATACTTCCCTTGTAAGGAACTGGCCATGGATTCAACATTTAGTCATAGATTTCCCAAGAACATGCACCACAGTATCACCTATATTTACGCAGATTTAACAGTTTAAAAAATTGAAACAAAGCTTTTTCATCTAGTTTAACATTATTTGAGCATGTCTACAAAAATTAATCCTACAAATATTTAGACTTTTGTGTTTAAAATTTTTATGAAAGAAAATGATCGGTTGAACATATTTTCCAGTTAGTAAAACTCGTTTGAAGAAAACAACATCGTTATAGGATAAAACAAGGTGAATTTCGCAGCGTTGCAGTATGACCAAGCGATTTTGCTTTTATGCATTGTTACATTTTTGCATTGTTACATATTTGCGTTTTGATTGTACATGCGCATGGAGGCATCAATCTGAAAATACCTAAATGTCACAGCTAATGATATTTTCGTGCCCCCACTTTAAGGGGAACATTTAGATTTGCCCTTGTCCGTCCGACCGTCCTACCATCTACACTACCGTATAGGGAAAGGGAACCATCTAACTGTAAACAGAACAAAAGAGAACAATAAAATTCATTCTGTAACAATTGAATAAGTGACATGGCCCTCTATTTAACAAAATAAAATTACAATAGAAATGGTCCTTTATCCCTATTTGGTCTAATGTCCGTTCTTCCGTCTGTTTGTTCTCATTCTGTGTCGCACGTAGCTTAAAAGTATTTAACATAGGGTCATGAAACTTTACATGAATGTTGATCAGCATGTGTAGTTCTGCACCTGCGTATTGCGAGTGAATTCATTAAGTATTTGTAGAGTTAATGCCCTTGACTAACTAACAATTTGCAATTTTTAATTCGTGTCGCACATAGCTCTATAAGTTTTTTACCAAGAGTCATGAAAATTTACAGGAAAGTTGCTTAGTATGTGATGTTGTGCACCTGGTGTTTCGCTTCTGGATTTATTCTGTTTTGTCAAAGAAATTGCCCTTGACTGAGTAAAAATTTGCACTTTTCAACTTGTGTTACACGTAGCTCAAAAAGTATTTAACATAGGGTCATAAAACTTTACAATACAAAAATTTTGATCAGCATGTGTAGTTTTGCACCTGGGGTTTCGCTTGTGAAATTTGTTCTGTTTTGTCAGAGAAATTGCCCATGACTGAGTGAAAATTTGCAATTTTTGACTTGTGTCGCACTTAGCTCAAAATTATTTGACATAGGGTCATGAAACTTTTCAGGAATGTTAATCAGCATGTGTAGTTGTGCATCTGTGTATTTGCGTGTAGATGTATTTAGTATTTGTAGAACTATTAACGTTGACTTAGTAAAAATTTGCAATTTGCAACTTGTGTCGCACATAGCTCAAAAAAGTTTTTTGCAAAGAGTCATGAAACTTTACAGGAATGTTGCTCAGCATGAGATGTTGTGCACCTGGTGTTTCGCTTGTAGATTTATTCTCTTTTGTGAAAGTC